GTCCACAAAAAACGTGTCAATATTCCTCCATACTGCTCGTCCATTCAGCTCGGCAAAGAACTCATGCTCTTCCTCAGCACTGAAGTCCTCAGACATTTTTCTTTTGTTGTTTCTTTCTTTGCACAGGTAAACAGCACATTTCTTCTTCTACGCTTGCATTATCAAGAGCAGACGCTGAATGCGCACTTTCATCTGGTTTGGTCTGCCACAGTTTCCGTAGGCTCGTGAACTCGCAGGCGCGCGCTTTTAGGAAAAAAAAGTACTCCAGAGTGTTGTTCAGCATGGGGGTGAGTAGAAAATGAAGGCTAATCATGTTTTGGGTGTACTATTCCTTTAATGTTTTCAATTTGTTGTTGGAACTGTAAAATGCAAACTTTCTTTTACTGTTCATGCAGGACATATTCACAATAGATGAGGCCATTCCAAAGCTTTTCAGCTCCTGGATCATGTGTCTTCTGGGTATACTGGGGACGCTGATTATCCTCTGTCTTTCCACTCCTTTCTTTATCGTTGTCATCATTCCTCTAGCTGTGATCTACTTCTTTGTACAGGTGAATAACCATAACATGTGTCAAAATTATGTACATTTTTAACTTAAAAGAAATTACAGATACCTGTTTAAAAAAAGACTGGTAAAAGTAAAGTAGAAATTGAACTAAAAGTAAAAAAGAATTGGCTCTACAATTGTAATGAAGTGCAAATGTAAAATAAAATTTTGCCTGAAATTATGCAAAATAATCTAAGCTCTATTCTAAACAAAAAGAGCCAGATACTGTAAATGGGTGAATTTCCTTATTTTGCTTACTGTCTTGGTACATAGAACATAAAAAAATGACTTGGTTTAGTTTTGAGTTAAGCTAAAATCCAACAGTTAACCTTCATCAAGTCTCACCTTTATATTTAGATGTTGTCATTGATAGCCTAGGCCAGATGGTCCCTAGTTGGGGAAAATTTTTGATGATCTGATTGTTTTTTCTCTCTGTCAATGACCAGCGATTCTACATAGCAACCTCCCGACAATTACGTCGCCTGGAGTCAATAACTCGCTCTCCTATATATGCTCACTTTGGTGAGACTGTATCGGGTTTAAGTGTAATAAGAGCCTACAACCATCAAGAGCGGTTTCTTAAACACAATGAAGTAACCATCGATGAAAACCTGAAAAGCATCTATTCAAGGATCATGTCGAACAGGTCAGTATGGAGGGGAGCCCTCATTTCTCATGTGTATCTGACTTTACTGAGGCTCGGCAAAGATGCTTATTTGGGCCCAACTTGGGCTTTTGTGAGCATCAAAGTAGGGGCCAGGATGTGCACTGTGGGTTACTTCGGGGGCCTCAGAAAATTGTATTTCCCTACACTTATTTTTATTGTGGAGTCCCTGGGTGAAGATCTTGTATCAGTAAAAAAAAAAAGGGGAGTGTGGCAGCCATCTTGTTTCCTGTGTTAAAAGGAGGCCCGCCTCAGACCCTTTTCTTTTACAGGAAATGTAGGATTAAGATATGAGGTATGATTTGTTGAAACATTAAGGAAAAAAATAAGATAAAATGTAAAGATGCACTACAAACAGAATATGCTGTCCTGATATGAAGTGAATGTGAGTATTTTCATTATGTATGTGATAGCTGCCTTAGTTTGTTCTTTTGGTTTTTTTTCCCCTATTCTGGAAGGCTAAGGTGATTGGCCTATTTAGATTGAGAAGGCGGAGTTTGGCCTACATATAGGTGATATGCTGAATGTGGGAGCGTCTCCTTTGGAGGGCTGATAATTGTTATTATTATCATAAAATATATAACTTGAAAAACTCATGGGATTATTTTGATATACAGTACTTTTCCTGTTTTCCAGTTTAGCACTGAGAATTGGTGTCAAAGTGCTGAACAATAGTCCAGATTTGTCCTTAATTTGTTTTTTAATTCTCCAGCTTCCTCATTATAAAACATCAAACAGAAATGCCTTAAAATCTGTTCCCTTTCTTTGGTCATTGAATAATAATCATGGTCCTGTCAAACCACTGGTTAGCCTATATCTACATAAATCCTCCATTGTCTCAAGAGGGAGAACTAATGCCAAAATGGCGTTATCATATGCATTGTAACCACTGGTCCACCTCTGGTCCCACAGGACATCAAATCATATATTAAAGATATAGGAGAGGATGTTCTTTTTGCAGGTGGATCATCAAAATAAATGGTCCTCCTAATTGTCAATCATTCTGGTCATTTGTTTATGTAAGGCCTTCCTACGTGCTTGTCCCTTTTTTCACTGAAGGCAGCCATGCACTGTATAATTTTTTTACCAATTTTCCGCCCGATTTTCCAGTCGTGCGAGAATTTTTTCAGTCAAACCGAATTTCAACCTCATCATGCGTCCTGCTTCATGTAGTATACAAGGGGTAACAAGTGTCTATGAGCTGATTTACCAGGAGCTTATGCACTGTGCTTGTGCAAACAACAAAATTCTTCTTCCAGATTGAAGAGTCCGACCTGGCCATTTCTTGGCACTGAGTGGGACGTGTATTTTTCGGCCATGCAGTGTGGGCAGTTAGAGTGTGTAAGAACAGTGTAAGAACATACATTGTGATCTGTGAAGTTAAAACCCTGCAGTTTCATCGTACAGTTTGAGCTGTAGCTGAGTACAACGATGTAAAAATATTGTACAGTGTATGCCCGGTATTAATGGTGGTGAGTCTTACTTAGTGGAAAAATTGCAAATCTTTCAAATAGAGCGTGCACAAGGTGAAATGCTCTCGCATACGTTTTTTTAAGTGGAGAGGGCGAGTCTTTTCAAAAATTCGTGAAAATCCTCCACTATACCTTTAAGTAATCCTGTTTAAGCTGTATTCTGTCTCCATTTGTATTTACAAATAGGTTTTGTAATCTGTTAAATAACAGGTGAGAAAATGCAAATTCTGTTTGTTCAAAAAAAAAAACAACTACCCAGATTTCATGTATGATGCAGGTCCAAACTGTAGGGAGAATTTGTTATTTTCACCTGGACTATATGAGGCCTGGACATAAAAATCTGCATTAATATGTCTTTACATTCTCTGTATTGTTTTTTTTTCTCAACAGATGGATGGCCATCCGTCTGCAGTTTCTTGGAAACCTCGTGGTCTTTTTTGCTGCACTATTTGCTGTCATTTCTAGAAACACCATTGATAGTGGCCTTGTTGGTCTTTCTATATCATATGCTCTCAATGTGAGTCACTCACTCCTAATCAGAAAACAAAGAAACTGCAAGAGTAACTATATTAAGAGTAATTGTAAAGTCTTAAGTTACATTTCTGTTAACTATCATTGTTTCCAGGTTACTCTAACCCTCAACATGGTGGTGAGGATAACCTCAGAGCTGGAGACTAATATCGTTTGTGTGGAGAGAGTCAGTGAATACTCTGTACAAGAGAATGAGGTCAGTTGTCCTGTATTCAGTTCTCTGCTAATAACAATAATAATATATGCACATCAGCCTCTGATAGCTGAAATAGGCCTTTTATTTTATCCAGGTAGGTTAAAGTTCTTCCTGATTTCTTTTATAAATTTTTTCTCTTTTCTGTGCAGAAATCTGCAAGGCAATTTCCTAATTTGTTTGGTGACATATTTTAGGTGTTTAAACTGCAATTGTTAATCGAACCCTCAAAGTTCCTGAATTGGTGGAATTGATACAAACACCTCTTTATCAATGAATCAATTTTTCCTTATCAAAGATCAACAACTCCAGATGCCTGTATTTTGTCGCTTCAAGTTTTTTTTAAATACAAGCTATACAACATTTGGAACTTGGAAGAAACGTTTCTACTTTATACATTCAATCTTTCTAGAAAATTTTTTTAAAGGACCTGTCATTATGGAAGAATTACGTGATACACGAAACACAAAAATGTCTCCTATATTTACTTTTTTTGTTTGTTTTTGCAGCACTTGTGTCTTGAGAAAGAGAGAGAGAGAGAGAGAGAGAGAGAGAGAGACATTGGGCAAAGGATCACAGGTCGGATTTGAACCCAGGTTGGCCACATCGAGGACTAAGGCCTCTGTACATGGGTCGAGCGCGCTACCCACTGCAGCAACTGCACGCCCCTATATTTACTTTAGTGTCCAACATTATCGTACCACATAGAAAATGTAAAATTTGAAAATGCAAATTCAGTCTGTTTCCATACAGCTAGACTCCTTTTTCGGCTTTTAAGTTACCTACATGGATGTACTTTCAGCTGTACAGAATTGTGATGAAAGGACAACAGAAAACTACTATGCACTGATTCACTATAGGGAAGGGAGTCACTAATTGTGCATGGACTCTTGAGAAAAATATAGCAACAGATATTAAGCTATTAAATAGTTGTACACTGGGCTTATTGTGTATATGATCGTATAGTGAGCTAGCATTAGGTAGCATTAGCTCACACAAGTGGTCTGTCTGGTATCCTGCCATTAGAAACATCCCCATGTCTTTCCTCTCTCCTACTTAACAAATGCGTTTGCTTGATGCCCACAGCTGTCTCTGCTTTGACTGAATCAGACTAAAAGCTATACAATGTACAGAAGGTCCTCCATTGCTGCTTTTTGTTTGTGTCACATACCAACACTAGGGCTCCTTGGTACTTAATTGTAATGTAAAATCACCTGGAGTAACAATGGTTGATATGAACCAAAACGAGGTGAATAGTGAGTTTTTACCAATGGGAAAGAGCTATTAGACAATGACTTGGGGCAAGACAGATATCACAGCGCAACTTGGGAACTCTGCCATGAACTTGTTCTTCTACAGGCTCCATGGGTGACTCAGCATACACCATCAGACCGGTGGCCCGAGGCAGGAAGGATCCAGTTTGTAGAATATAAAGTCCGTTACAGACCTGAACTGGACCTGGTCCTGAAAGGGATTACCTGTGACATCGCCGGCAAAGAGAAGGTCTGTCTGTTCAGTTTTATCGATTTGGAACTGTCAAGGTATGCACGTAAAGAGATTGTTTAAATAGATTTTTTGGGGGGAGTTTACTTAAAAGTTTCATCCCACTTGCTCTTCTTTTTATATGTTTGTATGTTTTATATATTCGCAAAGATAATAATAGACCTTGTAAAATATTTAAAGCTTATACATGGTTTACATTGTAGCTTACAAGCTTCTGATTGTGTTCCGAATGTTTTAGAGATGGACCTACAAACTGTATCCACAAAAACAACAACACTTTCCAATAACATTTCCTTCTCTGCTTCCAGATTGGTATAGTTGGTCGCACTGGAGCTGGAAAATCAAGCTTGACTAACTGCCTGTTTCGCATTATCGAAGCAGCTGACGGTCGTATCCTCATTGATGGTCTAGATATCTCCACAATTGGGCTGCATGATCTAAGAAAGAGGCTCACAATCATCCCACAGGTAAACATAAAAAAAAGCCAGATAAGATATCCTCTTTTGATGAGTCCACTAACTTGTCTCTCTGATTCTCTGAGGGCAGGATCCAGTCTTGTTCTCTGGAACTTTGAGGAGGAACTTGGATCCATTTGACAAATTCAGTGATGAGGACATGTGGAGAGTCCTGGAACTCTCTCATCTGAAGGATTATGTAACTGGGCTCAAGGAAGGATTGCAGCATGAGGTTGCAGAAGGAGGAGAAAACCTCAGGTGTGCAGCATTATTTCAAACAATTCTAGCAATTCAAAGATTTAGTATTTACAGAGACAATACAGTCAGATGGGTCAATAATTTCTGTTTAGGACAGCAAGTTGATTGCATCCAGTCAGTGACTTTCAAGAGTCCTGGATGAGCTTAAAGCGAGGATTTTGTGGCATTTTGTCGATGACTCTTTAGCAATCACTCACACCACACATGCATGCAGCGACAGTGAAGACAAAAACTCCCTTTCAACAGGAAGAAACCTCCAGCATTAACAGGCTCAGTGTGCGCAGCCATCTACTGATGTCAACCAGGGTTTGATGAGGAAGAAGCAGACATACAGAAAGAAGCAGTAGATAATATAAAATCCCATATAGGGTCTTCAAAACATGTAAACTTATGAATCAGAATAAGTTTCAAATCAGAAAATATTTGCATTGAATTATTTATTTAAATAATTATCTTGCGACCGTGTTGTTAATATTAGTGGGGGCTGTTCCTTTTTGTATTTTTGTCATTTTAGACTACTGTATTCTAACAGAAATGTACATAAAATGTATTTTCCCCTTACCGATGTAGTCTGTTTTTGGTTTTCTATCAAAAAAATATTCCTCTGCATTTTTGAGAAAAAACTGAAAAATTAATTTCCAACCATCAGTGACCTTAAACTAAAACTTACTGTCGCTCTGCAGCAGGAAAATGCTCTGAAACATTACAAAGTTCATATCTGAAAAATTTTTGGATCGACCTTAAGTCCCCAGCCTAAATTAGGCTTAGGTGACTTGGAAAGATTTTGCAAAGGCTGTTTCCGCTTGATAAACTTTCTATGTGGCTGAACCTAACTAATCTTGACAAAAAGACTGGGACAAAATGTATGTACAATTTGGTAAAAGGCTCATATTTAGTCATCTTAACTGAGTGATTCAATTCAGTTTATTTATATTGCGCCAATTCACAATTCGTCATCTCAAGGCACTTTACAGTTCAACATGAATGATGACAGTGGTTGATCCCAAAAGTAGCAAAGAAGTTATAGAGCCAGGTTGGTTTGGATGAATGGTTTCTCTTTAAAATGTATCTCTGAAATCAGCATTTGTAACAGCTAAATCACTTTTTCCAGTGTTGGACAGCGGCAGCTGCTGTGTCTGGCTCGAGCTCTGCTTAGAAAGTCTCGGATCCTGATTCTGGATGAAGCTACAGCAGCGATTGACCTGGAAACAGACAACCTGATTCAAAATACCATCAGCAAGGAGTTCTCCCAATGCACGGTGCTCACCATTGCCCACCGCCTGCACAGCATCATGGACAGCTCCAGGTGAGTCAGAGCACAACGTCTGAGATGACAAACATCTGATCCATTTACATTGTAACAGGTTATTTTGCACAGCCAGCAATGAAGCTTCTCAGAGGTTTATGATGTTAAAATATGTTTCTTTTCCTCAGGGTGATGGTCCTTGATGCTGGTCAAATTGTGGAATTTGATTCTCCAAGCAATCTGATGGAAAAACGAGGCCATTTTTACTCAATGGCAAAGGATGCTGGGATAACACATAATAACTTTACAATTTTATAACTATTTTTTCTGTATGTTTTTTCTTTGCTTTGTTTCAGGGCCAAAAATCATCTTTAATTTATAATTATAGCTGAAAAACTTAAACTGTATAACTTTTTTTTTTATTAACTCTTCACTTTCTAGTGTTTAAATATACTTCATATTCCAAAGGGGGTTGCCAGCAGGTTGAATTCTCACAGTATTTCTGCCTTCACAAACAGACAAAGATTCTGCTTCAGCTGTTTGGTGCTGACCCAAAACAGGTTGGTCAATCCTGTTGCAGTATTATGGTTTTAAGACTTATAGCTGTGACGAAAGCAAGAGCTACCGAGCCCACAGCTAAACCAAAATGCACAGAAGGATCCACCCGTAGCTGCTGCTATCACATCTGTGTCAGAGTTCATGATTTGTTAGAGTACTAATCCTGAGTCCTACACATGTCAGGTTGGGGGTCATGGTCAATTTCTAAAAATCAGATTCTTTTCTGGATTCTAAGATATGAGTAAGGCGGATCCTGGTGCTCATAGTCATAAGAGAGCGGATCTGAAAAGTCAATGACTTGATGCAATTAGCCAAGTTTCCTTATATAGAAACTTTTTGACCAATCAGACTGTATGAGTTCATTGAATTGTCTGTAATGTAATCTAAGTTTGTTAGGTTGATTGTTCATCTAAAGTACCCTTTGGTCTGAGTGTCTGAATGCATTGATGTTTGTCTCTGTGTTAACCTGCTATGGACCTGCATTCTGTCCATGGTTTTCCATGCCTTTCTGAAATTGTCTCATAGTCTAGGCCATTTTAGCCTGGTAGTTTGCTGTTTGCTTAGTTTGCTTAGTGTGCAGTGAGTTTGTTCCCACTGTATTGACCTGCTGTGCTTACATCAAAATTAGACCCTTTAACAAGGATTGTACCATGTGTTAATGATGCAATTAAAGTGAATGTAATTGAAAACTGTGAATAAAATGTATTCATTAACCAAATTTTTCCCATTTTAGCTGAACTCATTATGCAACTAAGATACACATGTTTTAGTAACTTGCGATTTTCCAATAAGTCCACAACCCTTATGTGGCTGTGCATTCTGCGGTTTCTCACTTAAGTATCACTGTTCTCATCATTCGGGTGTAACATGATTTCCATAGCTTTTCATAATTGTATGTTCAGCTAAATATTTTTTAGGAAATCAGCTTATTAACAGGTGAAATCTCACTAATTGAATTTAAATATAGATTTACTGTAAATCAAAATAATTACCAGGAGTAGTTTATCAAGTTTTTTTTTTTTTTTTTGAAAACCTAGACATGTCTAGTTTAAACTCTAACATAGTTCTAATATCTACATTAATAAAAGAGTAAAAGAAAGGAAATTAAACAGCTGGTACTAAATTTTAGAGCCAGCCTCAAATCATCTGCTTTCTGCACCAACACAATCTCAACAGGTCGTCTGGAGGAAGAAAAAAAAAAACTAAAACTAAACAAAACACCCTTACTTGGTTCCAAAGTGGCTGTTCTGTCATCTCTTTATGGAACCAGTCCAATGGTCTAATTTCACCAGTGGCGGGTTGTGCAAATAGTACGTGGGCCTTCAGTGCGTACCCCTTAACATCCATTCATCCATTTTTTGACACGCTTAATCCCAATTGGGTCGCAAGGGGTGCTGGTGCCTATCTCCAGCTGTCAATGGGCGAGAGGCGGAGTACACCCTGGACAGGTCGCCAGTCCATCGCAGGGCACACCCCTTAACTATAGTATTCAAATATGAAATGTTAGAAGCGCTGACATAACCAAGAGGAAGATATAAAGGGTGAATACAGAGATTAATTAAGCAAGAGGCCGAGTTAAGTCAACAGTAATCCTCTACTTTATAACCTATAATCTCATCTCTGCAACATTTAAATCACCAGTAGCAGTTAAGATTGAATATGCATCTAATTACCAGATGAAATAGTGCAAAAAGCATGAAGATAAAATATATAACACCCACCAGTGATGCTGATTATTCACAAACAAAATACTTCCTTCTGTCATTGTTGTAAGAAGTCTTAGTATCTCCATTTAGTATCAGCGATTAAGGCCACTTTTATCAAAAGTGAATCTAAAATGCAGATTTTTGGCATTTAACTTGGCTAATATTTGCAGTGTAGGGATTGCAGTGTTTCTGAATTGATTTTAGGCCAGCAGTAAGGGCTGCTCAGTGGGCTAGTTGGTAACACTGCTGTCTTGCAGCCAGTGGCGGCCGGCCCATAGGGGGCGCTGGGGCACCGCCCTCCCTAATAAGAAGAGAGAAACGTAAAATACATTTT